AAGTTGAACCCACATATTTTCTTTTCATCGGTTGTTAAAAATGCATTGCTTGTTAAGCTTATAAGTTTGTTGTTAAGCTTATACATTGGTTGTTAAGATTTCTTCATCTGTTGTTAAAACTTATATATATTAGTCGTTAGGCTTATGCATTTGTTAAGCTTTTCATCAGCTGTTCAGCGTAGCCATAGACTGTTTAGCTTATATTGTAGTTATTAAGTTTATGTGTTTATTGTTAAGTCTTGCGTAACTGTCCCCTTACATGCATTTCTCCCCTCAGCTACATATCTAGAGTCATCTTCAACATAATCACTAATTAAAAGTTATCTTCGGAGATTAGGCATTTTCAGCCATTATATAGAAAAATTGAAGCAATCCCTAGCTTTGAGAGATCTATAGTGAGAAAAAAAAAAGAGAATCTTATTCAATTGGAAAGAAGAAGAAATAACCAATTGAATGGATTAGGGTTATGATTTGGAAGAGAAAGAAGAAAAAGATGAAGTGGTTAATAATGTACTACTCAAGGGCATTATGGATATTTTTTTCCTTCTATTTTTTAATTGTTGATGACGTGGCTCTATATTTAGTGGGGTAGAGCATATAAAAGTGGATTTAAAGAGTTTTTGGCTTGTTGACCTCCCCTAACAGGAGAACATCGAATTTGTTTTTGAGCAAGGCTAATGCTACAGGGACCCAAACTCATGGGACAGGGGAGGGGACAGGTGAGGTGTTCCCTCTCCATTGCTCCATGCACTGTTCATGAAACAGTGCATGGAGCGAAAGGGGACACCTCCCCTGTCCCCTCCCCTGTCCCATGGATTTGGGTCATTGGGGAATTTCCCTTTGTTTTTTGATCTTCAGGACTAAAATTTTTTTCCCTTAAAAATTTTGAAAAGAATAAACCTTATAGTTTTATTCTTTATAGTAACAAAAATAGTATAATTATCACTGCTCATAAACAAATTAAGAAAATAAAAGGATAATCAGTCATTTTTTTTCCTTTTAAAAAACACTTTCTTTATTCTACCCAAGAGAGCAAGGACATATTTTCTTCCTTTTCCACCCCAACCAAGACGACCTCTTTATTCTCCCCCACAGAGATACAGTGACCGCCGATGCCAAGTCAATGGTCAATGCAACTTGAATAAATCTTCAATATCCAATGCATTGTCCTTTCCCAAAGATCCTCTTCAAGTCACATTAAATAGAAGTTATATAGAGTACAAAACCAACCCTACAAACTTTTGGATGATTTGCACAAGAGCTTTGCTACAGGGACCCAAAATATGGGACCAATAGAGGGGACAAGTGAGGTGTCCCCCTCCTATTGGATAATGAGTTGGTCATCATTAATGATGGCCAACTCATTATCCAATAGAGGGACACCTCACTTGTCCCCCTCTATTGGTCCCATATTTTGGATCCTTGGAGATTTTTTCTTTGCACAAAACTTTCGGATGATTTGCAAAAAAAAACTCACGAACTTAGAAGAATATTATAGACTTTGCAGAGAGTAATAAAACACGCATTACCTTGTACTCAGCTAGAGCAAAATTAAGCAAAACTTACTCTACGGTGTAGAATTTAGGTGCAGCTTTTAGAGTTGAGGGAGGGTTGTGCAATCAACCCAAAGCTCAAGAGGGTTTTTGTGGAACTTTATCCAAATAAATTTCACACTTTTCACTAAAAGAGCCTGTTTGTTTCACCATTTTATGGAAAAAGAATAGAATTTGGGTCTAACAATAGCAAAATTGTAAATAAAAAATTCTAATGATTTTATAGATTTCAGAATCTACAAAGTTAAAAAAAATATGCTGATTTTATAGAAACCTAAATTCTAATGATTTGGTCAGATTTGGAATAGAAAACTGACGTATTTAGGCGGTGTTTGTTTGCATGCAAGTGAAAGATGAAAGTAAGAAAGTTACTTTCATTTAACAATTAAGGTGTTTGTTTTCATGTAAGTGGTTATGAAAGTGAGATGTAAGAAAGTTGCCACATAAGATTTAATGTAATTTTGACTTCCCCTAAAAAAGTGGTGAAGTCACATGAAAGTGACAAAAAGGTAAGTAATTTAATTAAATGATTTTAATTATATTTTCTAATTAATCTTATTTTGCCACATCATCTTCACATTGCACTTTCGATAATAATTTAATTTTTCAAACAAACATTGTATTTCACTTGCGTGCTGACATGGATGTAAAAGTCATTTGTAAAAAAAAATAACTTACATATTTTAAATTCACTTTCAGATTGCCAAACACCCCCTTATACTATTCCTCCTCTTTTTTTCGGATTCCGTTTTTTCACAAACCGTATATTATTATGAGACCAAATCCTATTCTCATCTCAAAACAAACTAAAGAGTAGAAATTGAAAGGTTTCTATAAAGTTGAATTCTATTTTTTTTATGTTATGAAACAAACATAGAAATAAAAAAAAATTCCATGATAACATAAAATTGTCTTACTTTTTTTTTATGGATTAGCTAATCTTATTCTTGGCCACTATTTAACCAAACATCCCCTAATTTTACTTGTGTCCTCAATTAACACAATCCCCCTGGAAACAAGCAAAAGCGAAAGCTAAGGACAAGCAACACACTGCTGTAGTGCTGTTACTTGCGATCAAGCAACGTACAGCCAACACTTTACGTACAAACAACAGTAAAGCAGAACAAAAGAACTCTTCTTTACAAAACATAAGCACAGAATTCCAACTATTTCACAATTTCTACTTAACAAAAAATATCTAATAATTTTAAAAAAGGACAAATTGCATAAAAATAACTTATTATTTCATGTTTTTTTTTTCATGTTAGTGATCTCACTTGTAAAACGTTTCATTTAAATAAACTAAAGTTTACAAAAGTTTCATCAATTTAGTGACTTAAAAGTTTAAAACATGAAGACAAACTTAAGATTCCGAAGTCCAGCATCAAGCAGGAGAGGAATAAGGAAGGGATGTGATGAAAATGAGATAAATATTTAAAAAAAAAATACAGCAATTTACGTTAGAAATGAAGCCCTAGTTCCAAACTTAACACAAATTGCACAAATTCCCTTTCTTCCAATTTAAATTGAGTCAATACGCTATCCAAATTGAGATCTCGAGTTGCTAGAGCTATTGAGAACATGACAATTTTGAAGATAATCAATTAGGTTCTTTCACCATTAGCTAAATTGCAAATAACCCTCTCATTTATGCATTGACATGTTAGGGGGAGGTATTTTCATCATTATAAGAAAAAAAAATTTCCTGATATCCCCCTCCTATTACATAATTAGTTGGTCATCATTGATGATGACCAATTCATTATGCAATAAGAAAGGGACACCTCACTTGTCCCCCTGTTGGTCTCATTTTTAGATCCCTATAGCAAAGCATATATAATGACTCGGTATTTTTTTTGCTTTTAACAAAAAAATACTATATACCAATTAAGTGCAAAGTTTTACATGTGATATCACTCAAGTGAAGAGGAAAAAAGCAATAAATCAATTTAGTGCAATTAACCCACCCTTTAACCCCTTAAAAAAAACAAACACCCGTTTCATTTATTATTTTTATTCCATTTATAACTTCACAGCAAGCCCACAAAAGGACACGGACAAGCCGAGGACAAGATAAAGAAAGCTACAGAAAAAGACAAATAAGACTAGAACCCTGCTCCACCTTCTTCAGCTTCTCGCTTTTGTCTCCGTACGTCTTTCCTTTGACTGCTGCGTCCATCGTTATTATTATATTTTTTCCCCATTTTTTTTTGGTTTTTTTTTCATGCGCTCCCCCACCCTAACTTTTATTAGACCAACACAGAAGTAGATGGGTTAGTTTCAATAAGTCCACTCAGGAGGCAGAGTGAGCTCTGCTGGAGCTTGAACTTTGATCAACGGCCTCAAAGGTGGTTGCCTCTGCTCACTATCCTTCATGCGTACTAAAAGAATTCAAAAGTGGAAAAAAAATTAAAAAAAAAAATTTATAACCCAGTATTTGAAATCACCAGAGTATGCATAAAATAAATTTAAACGGAAAAAACCCAGGGCTTACAAGGTTTTCTTCTGACTTCATTGTTGATAGTCCTTGGCAGGAAAACTCCAGTCCCTGAACAACTTCGACCCGACCCGTTAACAGCAAACGGGTAAAACTGAGTAGTACCCGCATTCTGCTGCTTCCTTTGCAAAACCCTCCCTCCCATTCGCGGATTTTGCACAAACCCATTTGCAACCTACAATAATATTCAAAATCCATCAACCGGAAAGATCCGAAAAAGTAACCCCAAAACAAGAGTATCAGCATTTTGATATTTTCAGGTTGAAGGATTATTTTGAAAGTTTGTGGGTATAAGAATATATCGTAGTAGAACTTGGGGTTTATAAACATAAAATAAAAACCAAAAATTAAAAAGTTAATGCTCATAAAGAGCGATACCTGAGCTTGAACCGGCTTAAACTGCTGAACGGCTCCGTTACCAACCAAATACGCACCAGTTCCGACGGGAGTCCGATACTCCTCGTACCCGAATCCGAAACCAGTCCCCGGCGTTTTATTCTAAAAACCCATAACAAAACAAAAAAAAATTAGCCAGGAAAAGAGAAGGATAGCACTGCTTTTTTTTTTCAGTAAACAAACAAAACAAGGAACAAAAACCTTGGGGAGATCTGGGAGATTATTGGGCTTCGGGCACGGGTCTAAAAACCCAAGAGCGGCGAGCTGGGTCGCCAGCGTATCGAGGTTGGGCCCCCTTGGGATCTCGCGGCGTTGTGGGACCGCAACTCGCGATGACTCGGAGGGCATCCACAGCTCCCCGTCGTCTAAGGTTTGGCCGGGAACCTTCGCCATTAGAGGAGGGGGGGTGGGAGGAGAGAGAGAGACTTGAGAGAGAGAGAGAGAGAGAGAGAGAGGGTGACAAGAGAAGGGGAGATTTGAGAGTGCCTGTATTGTAGCGGCGGGTTGGGACTGGGGAGTTATATTGAGTGCCAGGTGGAGGGGTAAAACTGGTATTTCAGCTTCACGGTTACCGAAGAGAGGGGCATTTCGGTAAACTCGTGGAAAATCGATCATATTTCTATATTTACCCTCTACATTTATATATTTATCGGTATTTGCCAACTCACAATTTTAAGAAATAACTGGGACAAACGATTTCTAATTGCGATCGAGAAACAACTATTAGACGTTGAACGCTAAACAACTGTGAAATTGTTATTAGGCGCTCGCCCCAAATGAGCCAGTGAGGGTTGGGATTAGGGTTAAAGGTTAAAGGCCACTTGTCATGTTAACGGACGAGTGAAAGAAACGCGTCTACTCTTTAGATTTTCTGCGGTTACTATACTATTGATGAATTTTACTAATTGTGATGGTTTAGTATTGCTTAAATATAGTATGGAATAGTAGATAGTTGCATATTCACTCTTCCCCGTCCTCTATACTCTCTCTCCACTCTCCTTTTCTTTTGTGTATTGATTTATGTTTATTGTAAGTAACACAGTTAATTAACTAATTAGGGAAACATATGCGCGCATAACTGTTAGAGTAGAAAAAATTTGGAATATTTGGAGGGTAGTTAGCAATACCTAGAATTTAAGGGCAAATATTTAAACGTTATTTATTACGAGGTGGTATGTGCAAGAAAACCGAAAGAACGCGGCGTTACGCCCTCTGTGGAAAAGCGCGGCACTACCAAAGGAAAGCTGGGATCTGCTAGCTGTCACCAACAAGAAAATAAACAAGATCTCACTGGAAACTGGACACGTGTCCCTTAATTGATAATGTCTTTTGAGTTTCGGCGTTTCGTGTGTTGGGTAAAGTCACCTGGCAGGCATGACGTGGACAGCGGTCACGTGACATAGTGGCCCTGGGCGTTCGCCTTGGTCTCCGGCCTGTCTCTCCTCAAAATGGCGGTTGCTGCTTTTCGTTGCTGGAAGGGCGAATGACGATATTACCCTCGCTTAGCAGGCGGTGGGTGCGAGGGCATTTTCGTCCTTTGGTCTTATCGCGCGTAACGCTCGTTACCCGCAAACAATTCCTCGGCGTTACAAAGAAACCGCGTCTAACAAAAAACTCTATGCGGTTTTCCGCATGTTGTATTTTCTTTCCCCGTAATTTTGGGAGCTGATTAATGCCTGAAAATTACAAGCTCCATGAACGATTATGTATTTTTTTTTTCCATTCTTTGAATGCAAGTTGCTCATTGGAAGTCTTTTAATGATGTCATGGTATGTAGTTAGCCCAAAATCACCAGAAAATCCCAGGTAAAAGTTAGAAACTTGGGGTAATTAATGAGAACCATTGAACCGAATGAAGTTTATATTTGAGCCATTACATTGATTTTGGATTCACGCAATAAAAAATGAGCTAATATTGCCTGTTAAGTTTTCGCAGTTCGTAGAATAACTTGATTTGTTTCCCGAAAAACTAAACCTAGTGAATGAAGTGCATTTTTAAAAGAGTGCGTGAGCACAAACTATGTTCTTAGAATGGTTTCTTTATTAATGAAGCTTGGTTTTATGCGTAGACGTCTGATTTTCGACAGAAAACCAGAAGTCAAACAGTTGATTCATAGCATTCTTCTATATCCCATATATTTCAAGAATCACACGCTATAAATTCGCCCATAAGCCCAACCTGAATAAATCGCCTAGATTTGTGCTCTTTGAAGAAAGGGCTAAGAAATGCTCTTCGAAGAAAGGACTCGGTGGCTGAAATTTAATTCAGTAGTAAAACATAGATTTGATAAATAGAGACCTGAAGACAAATGAGCTTAGTTAAAGATCACTGAGTAACTCGTTTGTAGGAATAAAATACTGAATTCAACCATGAAAGATGTTATCATATACCAAAGGTGTACATTAAAAAACAGGCTTCACGTAAATGGCAATAGACATAGAACCCTCGGGCTAACACATTGGACCACGCTGGCTTCGTACGCCGCCTATCCCATCTCATTAATGTCGAAGTGACCGCTCTCATTCCGTGATCACTCCACAACCGACACCTGTAAAGTCGACGTTGACTCAGCCACCAGCTCAAACTCGACTAAGAGAGACCAAAATGCCCCTCCTACATGACTATAAGAGGGAAAACTATTCCCAATGCAAATGTAAGAAATTTTCCTACACTTTTCTCCTTTTCGTTGCCCTTAAGAACTGCTACAGTTTCCCCCCACTCAAGTACCTCGCTAACTTGATCGTCGGATGAACAACGGGGGAAATAAACCCCGCCCTCTTATGAGTTGCTACACATACAGGGAAGAACAACTCAACTCATAACCAGATATTCGGAAAAGTTAACGGCCCCTAATCAACCCAGTTCATATTAGTTTACATGTGTGATTTAGACCATCAACAACATATTTAACTTATTTTCTAGTTTTAATCCACATTTATAAGATCAAAAAACTTCACACAACATTTCGTATAATGCTGAATACAGTTGAATGGGAAATATTTCCAAGGAGGATTGCTGTAATGATCAGAGTCCTTCAAAGTTCAAACATCAACCTCCCTGTAAATTAGAAATTGCTCGCTGTTACTGTAACTTGATGCAAATGCCTTTCCAGAAGAAGTCGGAGGCGAAAATGCACACTCAGAGACGTCTAAAATGCATCCTGCAGAAAAACTCATCCTGTTTAGAGAGGGGGCAAAAAGTTAATATTTCCTTTTAACTTGAAATTTACTGCAAGCAAGAAACAACAAAAACCAGTCATACATGAACTGTACCTTGCAGCATCCAGCAACAGCGAAGCGATTCGCTTCCTTCTCTTTGATGGGGCAACCCAAATTGCTCTGACACCACATGTTGCAGGCAAAGCTTCCTCTTCACAAAGCATGGCTCCAATTTCCCATTGCTCAAATTTGTGAGTGTTTTCAGAGGAATATTTGTTTATAACTTCCCGCTGAAAGTTAAACTGTCCAAATTGAAGTATTGATTTATTTGGATTCTTAGAATTCTTAGAGATTTTATCAGTAGTTGATGAGGGAGCTGGTATGACTCTGTGTGCAGTTTTTATAGGTTCTGCAACAAGGCATCCAATAACTCTGTGGCTTGAAATGAACAGATAAACCTATATAAAACAAGTGAACAACTAGATTAAGATGTTATCGAAATCGATTATTACAAGGAAAATATTGTTCTTTCCTCCTATTGTTAGAAGGCCAGATTACCTTACAGAGTTTATGGTTAAGCTCCCCTTCTACAAAGCCGAGTTCCTTCTCCGTCATATTAATGACTTGCTTAACCTTCAATACAGTAGGTCATCAATTAATGTGGAACATTTGCACTATTTGTTTTCCATTCTTCTTCCATTTTATTGCAAGCAAAAGAAAAATAAGATACAATAAGAACTTCGTGGTTGCGATGATGGCTGAGAGTTATAACCTTCTATCCCTTGTAACTTTGGTACAAAATCAGTGACATCAACTGTGTGCTTGTTTTTCTAATTTTGAGTATACTTAGCGCAAAATTTGAAATAGTAAAAGAAACACAAACAACACTGTAGTCTCCCTTGTGATTGTGGAATTACTTTGATCCATCAATAGAACAACATAGCATAACAATCCTGATATAAAGAAACACCATAAAAGTAACGCGGCATAACATGAAAAAGAATCGAAACCTTGTGCTTTTGAGCTGGAGGATCACCATCTAACACCAATAAAATCCGGTCACCGTTATTATTATATCTAGAGACAACCCTCTCCTCGCTCCAACCCTGCACAAAATCAAAATACATCAACAAGAGAGAGAAAAGAGCATAATTCATTCCCTAAAATCAAATGCATAATTACCTTAAATGCTATTCCCTGTTCATATTCCTTATGAAAAAACTTGTGAAGCCTCTCATCCCTCTCATCTCCACGAGCGTACATCAATCCACAAACAGAGCAAGTGTGAAGAAGGAAATTGGATTGTCCCAATTCCAAATGGTACTGAGCATAACTTCTCTTATTGTTGAGGATTTTGCCCACAGATTTTGTTAACGTGTCACTCCTTTCTCTGTAGTTTTATTGAATTTTACCGAATTAGTATAATAATAATAATAATGTCAGATAGATATTTTTATTGTTCATAAGTTGTTATCTTCCAAAATTAAAACATGGGTTTTGATCAGAATCACAAAAAGATGAAACCTGAATTGAGAAAACAAACTAATCACAAGATTTTCAGATTTGCGGGGTTTGGGGAAAAGAAATTAGAACAATATTTAATCACAAGATGAGCAAATACCTGTTCGAATTAAGCTTCAGATCTCGTTGCTCGTCGACAATTGGCGTAGTTGTGCTTTGATTCTTCGATAAATCTTTGATTTGAATTTGATTTGGGTTTTGGTTTTTAGGGCAGCAAGGTCTGAAAAAGGCGCTGATCTTGGATTGCTGCATTCTCTGTATTCTCTTCCCTTGCGAAATTTGGGGGAGATCCTTTTCTTCAAACCCTTTTTATTTTCCCGCCATTAATTAACAAATTGAGAGTGTTGGACTTTGAGGCCCATTAGAAAATAGCCCAGTGGGCCTACAATATCATCAAAGTGATCTTTGTTTTTTGGGAAAAATGTGTCCAGGCCCCAAAAGTGGGAACTTCGTGTGACTAGCCCCCCTGTACTTTG